AAAGAGAACTCGAACTACTCGCCTGGCGAGATGTTTAATGAGGGCTGGTACAACGTATCCTAGAGCTGCGGTGGCTCAAGTGGTTAAGACGCTGAACTGCAGGCTGTGGAAGGTCGGCAGTTTGGCAGTTTGAGACCCGAGTGTGCCGCGTGACGGAGTGAGCTCCCGTCTCTAGTTCCAGCTCCTGCCAACCTAGCAGTTCGAAAGCAAGAAATTGCAAGTAGATAAATAGGTACCGCTTCGGTGGGAAGGTAACAGCGTTCCGTGCGCCTTGGTGCTTAGTCATGCCGGCCACATGACCACGGAAACGTCTTCAGACAGCGCTGGCTCTTCGGCTTTGAAACGGAGATGAGCACCGCAACCCTAGAGTCGGACTCGACTGGCTTTCGAGCAAGGGAACCTTTACCTTTTTACAACGTATCCTGCATTTGCATTCTGGGTGTGCATGCACTTTGGGAAGGGACTACACGGAGGCTGGACTGATTTCTTAGCAGTCCGGATGAGGCACATTGAGGAACAAAGCAACTGGAAGTCCCATTCCACAGGCGCACGTCCTGTAAGTAAGAAGCCAAAGGATTTCACAGAAAGCACTCCAGGTGAGGACATAACCTGCAATGCTCTGTTTGGTGCAATCCTACGCCACAGTGGGCCAGGAAACTTCTAGTTCAGCAACCGATGGCTGTCAGAACCACACTCGGCATGCTACTATCTCACAGCTGCAATACGAAGTATTGAACAACCTTGCAGGGTTGTTCAGAAGTTTACTGATGACATATGCAGCATGCCCTGGGAAGTGTTGCGTAAATGCTGTTATGAAGTAACACAGCCTTAGAAATAACTACTTGCCCCTACCCTGCTCACTACTCAGCGTACTGAACCTGCCCTGACCTGGATAACCCAGCCTGGCCTGATCTCATTAGATCCCAGAAGCTAAGCAGGGCTGGCCCAGCTCAGTACTTGGATGGGAGGCCATCAAGGAAGTCCAGGGACTATGCAGAGGCAGGCAACGGCAAGCCACCTCTGAAAGTCTCTTGCCTTGAGAATCCTACAGGGTTGCCAAGTGAGCCGCCCACAACTTGACGGCACTTTCTACCACCGTACTGAAACCAGAAGACGGGAGAGAAGCAGAGCCCGCTCAGCACTGCTTAACACGGGGCAATGCCAAAACAAGGACCATCACCACGCCAAGTAGTTTGCCATTGAGGGAAAGGGCTCGCCATAGTGTGACAGACACTTGCCCCAGGCAAGCAGCATCACACAAGGCCGTGGTACGAGCACAGCGGACGGCACCCGGGCACTGCTATCTAATTCCACTTTGATACGAAAAACGGAGTCTTGAATCAGATATTCGTTCAAAGCAAGGGGCTGGTTTCCTGCACCGATTCCCCTCCACCATGGGGGGGGGGGGGGGGTCAGGGGGGGGGGGGGAGATTAGGAGACGCAGAAGAAATAGTGTCCAACAATCCAGCCATGCAGGTTCTCTTACGCAGGTCAAATAATTCATTTTTCCCTTTTAATGTAGCACAGAAAGAACAGCCTCAAGAAGTTTTCTAAGGCGAAAAGGCCCAGTACGGAGTTGTTGCCTTAAAAGAGAGGGGGTTACAGTAAGAGGAAAGGAAGCCGAAACTGCAATAAGGCTTATACAAAACCATCCAGCCCTTCGCTACCCATATGGGAGCTGAGTGTACAGAAATTAGATATGTCCTTCCCTATTCGGATACCCCGTTGTCCACAATCACACCCCTTTCCGCAGGGCTGAAATGGGGATCCAAACCCAGGCAGCTTGTATGTCTCAGGAAACTTCTTACCCTAGATGGAGCTTTGGTTGCCTAAGTGCCCGGTCCACCCTGGGAACCATGCAAGCTTTACAGACGGGGCGGTGAGAGACCGCCCCCCCCCCATTTAGAAAGGAGTGCTTTTGCCTCCACACTTTAGAACAGGGGTTCCAATGAACTCCCTGCTCTCCACTGATGTCTTTCCTGGGTCCCACTTGCTTCTGGAGACTGCGAGATAAAATTCAAATGGTCCTAAATGAAAAAGGGAGCTTTGATAGGAAAAAAACTGCATACCTAATAGATGTTTTAGAAGATTTATAACATGTCTGCCGTTAATCATAAAGAAGTCAAAGCCCTTTCTGGCATCAGAAGAACGGCCTGCAATTTGCTTTGCAACTCTGATCAACAGAGCATAAATTTCTTTTGCTTCAAGACTTTAGCAGCATGCTTTTAAGAACATTGCAGGCTTAAACCCCGAGGTTCTAATTTAAAATTAAGTTTTTAATTACATTGATTCTAATTAAAGAAAACCTACACTCTTCCACATAATAATAAGGCCCGTCTGTGACCTCACCCACAGAGAAGCAAATACCCAGCTTCTGACCGTGGACTTATGATTACCCGCTCAACTGGAAAGTCTACTTCCATAGGAACAAGGCCCTTGAAGTTAACAAGAAGAAGGTGGATTAACCCTTGCACGCACACACACATACACACGCAACAAAAAGGACTCCGCAGGAAGAAAGAAACCCTCATCCAGAAGATTAGCCTTGAATTTCAAGGAACTACAGTTTAAGGCGCCATTAAAAAGAGATTGACTGAAAGGTCAACGGGTTTTGATTTTTCTTTTAAACCACTTTTTTAAAAACATCATTTCCGTAGGCTGAAAAGTATCAACAGCCACTGAAGATCTACTTCAGAATCTAGCACCAGCAGCTACCAAATCTGTTTATGATCAGGGCAACCCAGCTAATTTGCAACCAATGCAAGGTAGTGCACCCCAGAACTGACTGCTCCCCAAAACCACTTTCAGTGTGGCAGAACACACTGGGCAGCAGTGCATGGTATAGAAGTCACACCCCAGATCTCTTCACAACAAGATTTCCCTAACTAGCTATGTGAGCTCACTTGATATATTCATTTTGCTACTGTATCCCCTAGCCACACACACACACACAAAATAGGTCTTGTCCTGCTTCCGGGAGAAGATGCACAGGTTCAGACTTTGGCAAGCCTTCAGGGAAAGGATTCCGAAGCTGAAAGGCAACCACTGCGCATGGGCCCTTCAAAAAGCCACTGCTGAACTGATGATGCACGGGTGGTGTTACCCAGAAGTGCTTCCCGTTGATGGAGTAGTGGAACATGAGTGGCCTGTTGGCTATGCTGCACCTGGGAGATTTAGGGCATTACGGAACATCAACAAAGCTTCCTAAACCTTGCAGACCTAGTGCCAGTTTTCAGAGAACTCCTAAAATGCACTACCAACAACATAACAACACAAGAGAACACATGGTGGATCAGGCCAATGGCCCATCCAGTCCAATATTCTGTGTCACACAGTGGCCAAAACCCAGGTGCCATCAGGCAGTCCACCAGCGTGGCTAGAACTCCCAAAGTCTTCCCAATGTTGCCCCCCAAGAACCAAGAATACAGAGCATCACTGTCCCAGACATCGTATTCCTTGGGTCTAATAGCCATTGATGGACCTGTCCTTTTAAGAACATACCAGAAGCTATGTTGGGTCAGGCCAATGGCCCATCCAGTCCATTGCCCTGTGTCACTCAGTGGCCAAAACCAAGATTCCACCAGGAGGTCCACCAGTGGGGCCAGGACTCCAGAAACCCCCACTGTCGCCCCCTCCAAGCACCAAGAATACAGAGCATCACTGCCCCAGAGTGTTCCATCTATACCTTGTGGCTAACAACTACTCATAGACTTCTGCTCCATATGTTCAACCAATCCCCTCTTGCAGCTGTCTCTGCTTATATCCACCGCCACTTCCTGTGCCACCTACTCTCATTTGCAGAATACAAGGCAGGGTTGCCTATTCCTGGGGATTTGGGGGTGCAGTCTGGGGAGGGTGGAGTCTGGGGACAAGAGGAACCTCCAGCTGGATGTAACACTATAGAGTCCACCCTCCAAAACAGCCATTTTCTGACCTATGTAGCCTGGAGATCAATCATAATTCTGGAAAATCTCCAGGGCTCCACCTAGAGGTTGGCGACCCTAACACGGGGAGCACGAGCTCTTATGTTGCACCCCAGTTTCCTACAAAGCATTGCAGGGATTGCTGTAGCACTTTACAGGATAACATCTCTAAAACTGCCCCCCCCCCCAGTCAAGACTTGGCTATTTTCACAATCAAGGCAAACAAAGCCCTGAACCTGATAGCAGGCCTAACCTTATCCTCTCAGTACTTCTGTCCAAACAGCCATAATCCAAAAATGCTTCTTTAGGAATAAGATCTACTGACTTTAGTGTGTCTTCCTTCTGATTAGACCTACATAGGAACGGGCTGTGAAAAAGCAAACCAAGGGCAGGGAACTAGAACACAGTCACTTACCGTGCTTACATGTTTTTAGCACGCCATGTCATACGCTTGACTGAATGAAGGCTGCGATCACACACACTAATTCATCCACTTTCAGTGCACTTTCGAATTGGATTATGCCAGTTCACACAGTAAAATCCAGCTGTAAAGTGGATCGAAAGTGGATTATTTAGCCTGTGTGATCGCAGCCTAGGTTTGGAAGTGCAAACCAAGGGCAGGGAACTAGAACACAGCCACTTACCATGCTTACATGTTTTTAGCACGCCTTGTCATACGCTTGACTGAATGAAGGCCGCGACCACACACACTAAATAATCCACTTTCAGTGCACTTTCGAATTGGATTCTGCCAGTTCACACAGTAAAATCCAGCTGTAAAGTGGATCGAAAGTGGATTATTTAGTGTGTGTGATCGCAGCCTAGGTTTGGGAAGTTTGGCTACAACTCGATTCTTTTTTTCGGCACAATTTATACAGTTATGCCAACATGCCAATCTCCTGTCTCTGTGATCCACCTTGTCTGTTACACCAGAAAACAAGAGGGGGGAAAGGAGATTGGGGGTAGCAACTCACAACCTACTTCCAGCGAACCGAGCCGCGTCCCCTTCGAAAGGGCGACTCGGGTGGGGAAAAGTTCAGCCTCACGAGGCAGAGTCGGGGCGGCGGACGCGCTTACCTCTTTCTTGCTGCTGTATTTCAGGCCGGAGCCCATCGCTTGCGCCCCCGCCGGCGGGTTGTAATGGCTCATTTTCCCGTCGTTGGCCAGTCGGTAATCCTTCATGGTCGTCTCTGCCTCCCCGGGGAAGGGAGGAAAGTGGAGGCAAGAAAGTTCTCAAGGGCCGGTTCTCTCTCCCCTCGGCGCGCCTGCAAAAAAAAAGTGCCGTCGGCTCCTTCCTGCTCTCCCGGTCGCCCAGCGACACCTTCAGCCCTCCATGGCCGGCACAAGGAACCTCCCGAGCCACTTGGGCAACAAGCGGAGCCGAGCCGAGGCGCCGCGGGGTCCCAGGCGGGCGGCCCTCCTCCACATCCGGTCCCGAAACGCGACTCCCCCGAGCCCCGGCTGGGCTGCTCCTAGTTCGCCCCCTTGCTTCGCCTTTCGGGCCGGGGGAGCGAGGCTTCCTTTTGCGCCGCTTTCCACGCAGGGAACCAGTTTCGAGGGCGGGGCGGCAGGTCTCGGCGCGCGGGCACGAGCGCACCTGGGGCCCCTCCCTCCGTCCGTCCCGGCAGGTGAAAGGAGCAGGAAGAGGCGCCCGGCAGCAGGGATTCCTGCCGATATCGGCTGAGTTTCGCCCGCACCGAAAAGGAACCCGGTTTGCGCCGGCTCCAGCCACCTTGGCGCAGCACAGACTCCCCCCACCTCCCACCCCAAAAGGCTTAAAAAAAAATCCTGCCG